TATTTTTTTATTTTATTTTATTTTATTTTATTTTATTTTATTTTATTTTATTTTATTTTATTTTATTTTGTGGTACCGGGGATCAGACTCGGGTATGACCTGCGCATCTCAGTCAGGCACTGATGCCACTGAGCTGTTTCCCAGGCTCTATGTCTTTGTATTAAGGAGACCAAAAAAACCAATAAAAATGATACAGAATTTCAAGACTAGATGATAGGAAATTATTTTTTTTTCATTTTTTTTATGTATTTTGAACCCTGGTCCCTGCACTTGCCAAAGCAGGCGCTTGGTCCACTGAGCTATTTTGCTGGCCCTTATTTTTTATTTTTTAAATTTTTTTATGTACTTGGTACAGAGTCTCACTACACAGCTTGGACTCATAGTGATCCTCTTGTTTTCAGTCTCTCCAGTGCTGGAATTACAGGCGTGTACCACCACCTTTGGTCTCTGTGATGGGCTCAGCACTCCTAGGGGTGGGGCAGGCTTGAAATGTGGTGCCAGGGATCAAACCCGGTCTTTGTACTTGCCTAAGTAGGTGCTTAGTCCGCTGAGCTATCTCACCAGCCCATGATCTATCTTGCTGGCCCGGTAGGGAATTAACAGTAGTGGTTATATTGATATTGTTATCTTCAAAGCAGTTGGTCAGATTGTTACTTCTTGAAGGCAGACAGTAGTGAGGACTGAGGGACGCTTAGGTTATGTGGTCCCAAACTGGCTCAATCAGTGGTTTTGCTTATTTACTTGTACTTACTCTGGAAGTGGCACTGGGTGGACCCACAACCAAGATACCCTGGGAGGCATTTAAGACAATGGCTCTGGGACTACTGTGGACAGATCTTGATAGCTTTCTAAGCCCTGTAATTCTGGACAAATGACCTTACCTATTCAAATGCCTGTCTCATCTGAAATTGGAGAGAGTATTAACACGTAGTTACAAGGGTTTTAGTCAGAATTCAATAAAACCACATGTATAAAGAAAGCTTTTAACACCAGGCCTGATCTTGGAAGAGCTCAACAAATGACAGCTGTTATCATTACTATATATATTACAGTGAGTGCTACTAATTAAGAAATAGGTATTACTTTCTAAGCATGAGACACCATATTGCACTTTTTTTTTTTTTAATTTTATTTATTTATTAGTGTGTATGTGTGTGTGTGTGGCCAGCTCAGCCCACCAGGGGGCGGACTGGCTGGCATGTGGTGCTGGGGGATTGAACCGTGGTCCCTGGGCTTTGCTAAGTTTGTTCTAAGTAGGTGCTTTAGACCACTGAGCCATCTCACCAGCCCCATATTGCACTTTGATGTGGATATCATCTAAGAGACCTTGGAGAGCACAGACTGTTGTTAGGGAGTCCAAAGCAGTCAGCAAAAGACTGGGCTTGCCAAGCGCAGTGGCACATGCCTGTACTTCCAACACTTGGGAGGCTGAGGCAGCAGGATCGCTCTGAGCTCGAGGCCCGCCTGGGCTACAACAGGAGTTCAGGGCCAGCCTGAACAGCGTAGTGAAACCCTGTCTCAAAAAAAAAAAAAAGGCTTAGTTTAAATGCAAAGGCCAGTTCCATGGAACTGGGGAAGGACTAAATGAGTACTGAAATATTTTTCCACATAAAATCTTGAGAAATTTTCCAGTCTTGGAGGGCAGCCACTGTGCCACTATTTACAGCAGAATACATGACTCCGTTGTCTTTGGCTGGCACCACCCTGAGTGCAGAGCGCCACCTCGTGGTGTTTATGCGAATAATTGTTAGAATTGTTAGGAAGGGAGCAAGTGCCAGTGCCGCTCTTCTTGCCATTTCACCTGTTGGCATCCAGTTATTGCATCATGAACTCATGGATGTAATCAGCTATGTACTGTGATATAAGTGTGTGTCTTGGTTACTCATCTCTCGTTGCTGGGACAAATACCCAACACCCAAAATGAAGGAAGGAAAGGTTCATTTAGTTCACAGTTACTGGATGTTTCAGTCTATACTCGGCTGGCTCCAAGGCAGTGTCACATGGCAGAGAGCAGCCTTTCGTGGCTGCAGCACAGAGCAAGAGAGCAAAAGGAGTGGCAGCGGCTCCAGCAGCTAGCTGGCCAGCCTCTCTCCTCCTTACATTGTAACACAAATTACCTGCCCCAGGGCCGGTGCAGCATCCACGCCCAGAGTAATCAATCACAAGCTCCAGAAGCCGCCCCAAGACTGCTTGAGGCTTTGGGGGGATACCTAGGCACAAATCATAACAACCTATATTGTGGTAAAAATGTATTTATTTTATCCTCCACTGCTTTACAAGTTTGACAGAAGTATGGGGGTTGAACCCAGGGCCCCATACACGCTAAGCATGTGCTCTAGGGCTGAGCTACGTTCTAGCCCAACTAGAGTAGTTGCGGACTTAGAGAAAAGTCACAAAGATAATTAATACAGGGTGTTCCTGTACATGCACTTGCTTCCCTCTGTGTTTCTGAACATCTTATATAACCAAGGGAGATTTGTCAACTCCAAGTGGGTACACTGATATAGTACTGTTCCTCAAACTCCTGGCTATATTTGAATTTCATTTTTCCACTTGAACCCTGATCTATCCCAAGAGTCCTTCCAGGATACCATGTGACATGTAGATACTGTGTCTCCCTCTTCTCTGGTCTGGGACAGTCCTTTCCTTTTTCTCTTTTTAAAATGATCTTGGCAGTTTTGAAGAGTACTAGCCAGGTATTTTGCTGAATATTCCTCAAAATGGCTTTGTCTGGTGTCTTGCTCATAGCGTAGGCTTGTGGGTTTAGGGAGAAAGACACAGTGGCAAAAGGCGCCAGTCATTGAATCCTATCAGGGTGCCGGAATCAACGTGAGTCCACTGATGTGACCCAGGACCACATGGGAGAGGTGACATTTGCAGCTTTCTCCGCT